CTGCAATTGTGGCGATGCATGAGCAAACAAGTGAAAATTCTCCTGGCAGAAACACAGTGCCAAACTCCCTTGTGACTATGCAGAATTTCGCATCTCATAGCCAGGAGACTGTAAACTTTAACGCGGGAGCATTTTCTGGAGCAAATGTTACCATCAATTTTTACAATTCCAAATGATTTTGTATTCGTTATTGAGGTTATAAAAGCATATTTTACTTTTTTATGTACTTCGAAACATTTGTAATTAAGCTTAAGTTAAGGCTTATTCATTCAGCGGGATTGCCGGTTGTGAATAAAGAAGTTGTGCCGTCTGTTTTTGCTATATAATTGTTAAAGGGAAGGTCTAAATGTATAACAAAGCACTTAATGTATGGTCGCGAGGGAAACTAGTTAGTTTTGTTTTCCCTCGAGTTCTGATGTTTCCCTCGCCTTCGTCTCGGGAAACATCAGGACTCTCGGGAAAACAAAACTAACTGTTTCCTTCGCGACCATACATTAAGTGTATAATATTATACTGTAGTAAATGGGAATAACTCAAGACAGATATTAAATATTTGCCATCACATATTTACGATCCAAAACTTCCTTAATTTTCTGACAAATGCCTCCAGGTGGCCATAAATTATTGGATACTTCGATTGTTTGATATCTTTAATTTCAACCTCGCTCAATGACTCAGTATTCCGAACCATCAGACAGCTGACCTGCAAATTGTTTTGTTTCACGGTCTGATCTCGCATTTAAAGGCGAAACAATGAAAATAAACGATTCAGTTGATCCATGCCTGGAGTCAAAAACAAAGGATAATAACTGAAAAATCAATGACTTGCCAAAGCGGGTAAAAAATTAGTGTCTTTCTCTAAAACAGCAATGTTACTTATCACCTCTTTCTGTTCTACACTGACGGAAACATTCTCCAAATTGATACCATTTAAGGCATGAAACAAAGATTCCTCGAATCCTGCCTTGACGGCCGCCATTGACAATCCCATACAGTATGTAGAGACATTACGACCGCATACATGAAGACCGGAAGTGCTAGAATCTAGGACTGGAATATCCTATGTCTCCAGAGCCATTCGATTCTCGTGCCAAGGTCCTGCCGGCTAAGAGGAGCGAAAAGGG